GTCGCTTGCCACCCTCACTCCATCACTTTCAAAAATACCGCCGCAAAGACCAGAGGCACACAATCCACACAGTCTTTTGATCCGTGCCCAACCACCACCCCTCCGGCATACACAGCCCCTGGTCCCGATCTGTCCACTGCTTCACTTTTTGACCCCCTGTTCTACCAACACGCCAGGCGTTACCACTTCTAGCGGCCATGTCCAGACCATAGGACCTGTCCTGCTCTGCCCTTACTCCATCTGGTGGCCACCACATACCCACAGCATCACACAACACTTCTTGCATCGCCAGATCCTCCATCGGGGCAGCCCCGCACCCGGACATCACAACTAAGTTCCCTACTTTGTTCACTTTCTTAATTTGAATCTCACAGAGACGGGTTGTCTCTACACTATTCACCCTTTTGGAATATGCGCTCTTATTGCTCTTTCATCAGGCACAGTGTGACCACATTATTTGGTGTGCTGGTGACATTCTGCTCTATGTTTGTTGCCTGCGGTGCCATGCGCTGTCATTACAGCACCCACCTTCAGGGGTTCTTCTGTAAGGAGTGTAGTAGGACATCCTAAGGACATTGTGACTAGATGCGAATGGTAGCCCACCCCTACCGTGGCAAGCAAGTGCGATTCCAGCACAGAACAGTGACGCTGGCTGTACATATCTACTGTATGTGGCAGCTCAGCATTAAAGCCCACTGCCATGCCACAACATATGTGTATAGCCATCAGGAAGGGGATACGTTTTTGCTGCTTGGAAAATTTTAAGTGATTTGTAGCTCAATCACTGAGCGATGGACTCTCTGCAACGTCTGGAGATATCGAACATTGCCGGCCTCTGCAGCAGCAGCTGCTGATCATGGCACACTAGCAATTTGTATCTGCATAGATGAGCATTGTAGCCAACTACAAATAGCAACTCTGTACCAAATACAAATTGCCAGAGAAAATAGACAATGGTAGCCGATACAAAACGACTAGTGTGAGATCTAAGAGTATTATTACACTAAAATAGTGATCACAAAAATATCATGGAAACATTTCTACAAATTAAAGTGCAAATAAAAACAAACTTTTCCTCATTTTGGATGGTGTGGAGAGGGATTAGAACACCGGTCAGGTTTTTATTGGTGTTTGTGTCCCCGTTAGGGAGATTCACCCTCTTTATTTGTCCTGGTGATTGTTATCACTGAGGGCAGGTTCACACCATTTTCAGGTCCAGATCCGGAAAATGGTGTGAACCTGCCTGCAGTCCCAGACCATATGAGACATGCAGTATTTTTCTGGTCTGGAACGGACTGCACTGGTGTGAACAGAGGCCAGAAATATCATAGGGCTACATTAGGATGCATTTTGGGTGCGGAAACAACCTGGTCTGGAGATGACCTGGATGTGGTGTGAATGGGCCCTGAACGTAAACCACAAATTTTGGGTTGTCATCAGAACAGGTATAGATGGGACACCTTCCAGTGGGGACACTAGCTCTGGTGACCTTGCGGACCTCTTCGGAGGGATTTCAGCTTACTTCCGGTTGTGGATATTGGACAGGAAGAGAAGGAAAATCACCCTATTTGGACACATATGGCAAACAAAAGCTGACAAGGGTCCTAACCCTCCCTTATTCTATCCAAAAACTAAAAGAAGCTTTGGTTTTAGTTCTGCTTTATTATACTTTCTAGGTAAACCTTATCACAGCTACAATCTATCTATACAACCTCCTTTAGATCTACCAGCAACTAAGCACTGCAGGGCCCTGTCTGATTGTGATACAAACTGAATAGTAAGTTAAGGTAGGCCCTCGTATTTGTGTAACTCTAAGGCTAGATTCACGCCATGTGTGTTGCATTTAGTGTGCATTAAACTTACTTAATTTCTATTTTTTAACACGTGTTGTGCGGTTCTTTTTTTTGACACAACTCAAAATACTTGACTTTGTTTTCCTCAACACATGCGGTGATGTACTGTAGTGCATTGCAGCATAACTTGCTTTATATGCTTAATGTTCCATTTTGACCCAACGCACATCAACAGAGCATTGGTGTGAACTGGGCCTATAGGAAACAACAACTTGTCATTGTGTTCATCAAGGTGTGAATGTGTCCTATAGGAAATTGCAGTCAGATTGTAAGGCCACGTGCACATGGCTGTAATAAATGAATGCGCTTATGTCTTGAGGTGCCCATACACCTTACAATTATCTGCAGATTTTCTGTGGTCAGATGGAAAAAGTGCAACAGATTGGCCCAGGTGGAGATTACTCCATCCACACAGGTAAGTGTAGATGGAGGAATCGGTTGCACCTTTTCCATCTGACCACAGAAAATCTGCAGATAACATTGTGTTCATCAAGGTGTGAATGTGTCCTATAGGAAATTGCAGTCAGATTGTAAGGCCACGTGCACATGGCTGTAATAAATGAATGCGCTTATGTCTTGAGGTGCCCATACACCTTACAATTATCTGCAGATTTTCTGTGGTCAGATGGAAAAAGTGCAACAGATTGGCCCAGGTGGAGATTACTCCATCCACACAGGTAAGTGTAGATGGAGGAATCTGTTCCACCTTACCACAGAAAATCTGCAGATAAATTGTAAGGTGTGTGGGCAGCTTTAAATGCGTACGTTCCATGTTGCTGCAGGAGTGACTCATTTGGGGGGATAAACATCAACCGTGTGTAATAAGCGGTGGTGGTGCCTCCTGTGCTGCCGCTGTCTACACATTGTAGATGTTCACACATTTGCCATGAATGCATTAGGCCAGGGTTCAGCAACCTTAAACACTCAAAGAGCCATTTGGACCCTTTTCCCACAGAAAAGAAAAACACTGGGAGCCACAAAACCCTTTTTGTCATCTAAAATGAAGATAACACTGTATATACCGTTTTTTATCTTTATGCTATATATAGCATGTATATAGGTATATGTGTGCTTAGTAACACACTGGACTCAGGGCTCACCTGAGACCCCACCTGAGAGTGACCCTGCAGACCACACCATAGATCCTGCACAGCCCGAGACTGTCTATGGTGGACTCTGTAGGGCCACAGGTGAGCTGGTCGCCGGGGTCCCTTTACCTCCTCCCAACTCCTCTTACCTGCTGCTGCTGGGACCTGGCCTCCTCCACCCCCTCCCCTGTCACCTCTACTATGCCGCCCCGGGTACAGCTGATACTCATGTAAGAGGCGGTGGAATGTGTGACCACCAATAGCTCAAGCTTTTCAATGCTTTGTCAGCTGTTCCAGGGCAGATTGGCATCGCAAATCGTATGTGCAGGAGAATTGATCTGCCCTGGAACAGCTGTTTGGTCCTGAAATGTCACTTCTATCAGACTCTGAGTGCGATCTCACATTCCACCCCACTCACCAAGTTGGATAGAAGTGACATTTCAGGACCGAACAGCTGTTCCAGGGCAGATCAGTTCTGCACATACCATCTGCGATGCCGATCTCCACTGGACAGGGAGCCGCAGCAGGGGGATGAAAGAGCCACATGCGGCTCCGGAGCCACAGGTTGCTGACCACTGCACTAGGTAGTGGCACACATGCTCCTTTTACACTGTATGCATGTAAACATTAGCACAAACATCGCGTACATGCGTTTAGTGTAAAATATACTCAAAATCAGACCGCGAATGCTAATCATATAGCAGGCAATAGCCGCTATACTCTGAGCTTTGGGTCACAGGATATTAGTAAATGTCCCCCTATGACCCTAAAGAAAGCTACAGCAAAAAAAGATAGGGCCATAGTTCTCTTTTAACCCTTGCAGTTCGATGGTAGCCCAACAGCAGCCACCCAAGATAAGAGGACATTTCCCCAGAGTAACGCATGAAGTGTTTCAGCCAATGAAAAGCGAGTTCCTAGGAGTAGTGAGCGTGGTTAGGCGCAAAAGTGTACATTTTTCAGGCGCTCCCATTCAGGTCTGCTGGAGCTAAAAACACAATCACGCCCCAAAGAAGTAGACAGGCTGGAAACCCGCTCAACCTTAAAGTGGATGGAAGGGAAATCTGGTATTTAGACGCGGCTCCGTCCACATGTGTAACCCAGATTCTGGCACACAGCTCCACGCCCCAATTTTTTATTACATGCATCAATCAGTTCATAAACACGAAGCAGGTTTTATGATGTGAACAGCTTGATACATGTAATAAGGAATTGTAACGTGGTGTGGTGGGACAGAAACTGGGTTACCCTAAAGAAGTTTGCGTGCTTTTGGCACATTACTTAATGTGAATGGGCACAATGGAAATCTGAGCGTCCAGCGATGGAAGCGATTCTGGAAATGTGTGATTGGGGCCACCATGTGCATAGTGAGCAATACAGATAATGGCCAGGTTCAGAGAAGAGTGCGACCTTTCTCCAGGTCACTGGCTTCATCCATTCCACCCATACATCTTATGGGATCCCAGTGCCTCTTCCCCCCCCCGCCCCCCATAATGAGGAGCCCCCTGAGATCACTGCCATGGATTACATTGTTCTATATGTACACAGATGGGGGCCCTCCAGGGTCACTGGTAGTGTCGGCCTCAGATCACCCCGGCAATAGGACATGTATAGAAGTTCTAGATGTACTGAACTCTGCACCCCATACAGAGCCGTACATTGTCTGGGTAGAACTCCCCATACTACCCTCACCCCGGTGTCTCAGATCACAGAATGACACCCCTAGGGGGTGACTGACACCCCCCCCCCCCTCACACAGGCCCATCACAAAGACTTCCTCCCCGGAGGCCGAGAACGGCGCGGCCTCCTACCCCGCCATCTAGAGCCCAGACCTTCCCGCCGCACGGCTGCCCCGAGCCCCCTGGCCGGGCCCCGGCTCCCCGGAAACCTGCACACTTTAACGCAATAAACAGGAAATCGTTCGGATGATCTGGGTTCCGGGGGAAGTTGAATTATTTTTTACCACAGAAGAGATCAACTTCCACATCCGGTAGGGCCCGACACCCAACACTGACCTGGAAAAGATTCGGTAACCTGGCAGAAATCAGCCTGGCCCGCTTACCGTGCCCGGAGTGCTTGTGTCGCCCACCCCGCTCCTGACTGCTCAGCTGCCGGCTGCTGGGGCTCCTCGCTCCGCCGACCCGGTTTACTTCAATGCAGTCTCATCGGCGCCGAAAATCCCCGAAGAAAAGTCCCCCGCGTTGTGCGCGGATGTGCACTATGATCGGCGGGATGGACGCATCACCGCCGCTCGCGCCTCGGGGCCATAGATCGCCTACACATCGCTATTGATTTATTTTCAGGGTTTTATTTATCGGGCTGCAACCTAGTATGTAAAAGGCGAGCTTTATATTAACTCTTGCCACCGTAAAAGGGTTTGTTTTTTTAAAATTGTGGCGAAGAAGAAGGGCGGCGGAGGGATTCCTGTTGTTCGGTTATGAAGTGATGAGTTTGGCGCATGCGCAGAGGGAGCCTCAACAGGACAAGCGGTCAGGACGGAGGAGCTGTGATTGGGGGTCTGTGTGTGCGCCCATGCTTGTTATTTTGTGGTTTCCTGCAGAGTGAAGGAGAAAATGTCTGCTCCATGAAAATGTCAACATAGCTATTATGGCCTGCCCCATGTATCCATTTGGTTGTTTCCTGAGGGGCAAAGTTCTTCTGAAGATAACCAAAAGTTTTCTTTAAAGGCACAGTCCACTTTTTGTAAAAATTTGAAGTGTATGTCTTTGGGGAAAAAGGGGTTTGGGAAGGATTGCAACTCCTGCCAGGTATTTCTGCTATCTGGTGCTCCATTTTAGTATATTTCTGATTTCAGTTTGAGAAAACCTCACAGTATATTTTACGTGTTCCCATTCACACAGCATACCAAAAAAAATACAATTCAACATTTTAGTTGTTTCAGAAGAGACCTTTGGACAGACTGATCTTCCTCTCATTAATGTACATTGCTTTGAGATCTTTAACCCTTTGTTGGTACAAGTCTGGTTTACAACTGATAATGCGATCTGCCAGCACAGTACAGACATTTGGTAAACTTATATCATGCCTCCTCCATTAAAGTTTTCCGAAATACAGCAAGTAACATTTTTTATTACCCAAGCTTTTGGTAAAATTTAAAAGGCGGGGTCCTGTCGGGCAAATAGACACCAAACATGTCAAGCTTTAAAATTGCGTGTGCCCGTGAAATTGCAAAATCTACCATACCCAAAATTGGCCATAGGCGACGCTTTAAAAGCTTTTACTGCTCATCAGTTTATTGCTCTCACTCTGACATTCGCGATATGTAACATGTGCGGCGCAATCGTCCTTTTTGCATGTAGGCGTACCCGACACATGTTTGTGTGTATATGTGGGGGACTTTAGAAAAATGTATTTATTTATTTTTTACACCTAACTTTATTGCTGCCACATAGGGAGCTAAAAAGCCCCCTATGTGATAGCACATTTACAATGACCGTTCCTCTTTATGGAGACATCAGGGGTCTCTAAGACCCCTAATTTCACCTAGGGACAGCTGAATGTGCAAGTGATGTAATATACATCACTTCCTGCATTCAGAGAACAGGAAGAAAATCGGAGGGAGATCATGTACTGACCTCCGGTCACAGAGCCGCCGTGCCGGTCCTGGGCCCAATGCTGAACGGGCAGTGTGCACGTGCGCACACAGGCCCGTTCGACATTTGTCTCCCGAGCATCATTTAAACCAGCCGAAAATCTTACGATTTTCTAGCATGCTCCTTAGACAAAAGATGTGCGACCGTACAGTAGAAACGGTCGCACGCCTTTATTCACACTGCACGATTCTCGTACGATCGCGCGATTTCCAGCGATTCTCGTACGAGAATCGTGCAGTGTATGGGCACCTTTTAGAGAGATTTCCCCTCACTTCCTGTTCTGCTGATGTCTCTTTCACCAGAAAGGAAGTCAGGGAAACATAAAAAACAATCTGGCAGGAGTTCTAGTTTTCCCCTACTAAAGAAAGGAACCTTTATTCCTGTCTGTGATGCTGTTGGAGAGTTCCCCTCACTTCCTGTAAAAATGTGGTCAGCATTAAAGGAAGTGAAGGTAAATATATCTAATGAAGCCCCATATAGCAGTAAAAATGTCAGGCGCTTTAACCCTTTCCCACACTATCCAAAACAAAGAAAAAAGTTTTGGCTGACTCTTTCCTGATGCGAGAGGTTCCAGCGTGATACTCGTGTTTACTCTTTTGGGGCTGGGGCTGGGCTGCCCTACCCTTAATCTGTGCCCTCCTTTTGTTTTCTCTTCACCCTGGTGTGTCTTGTCTTTAGTCTTCATCCCCTTCTATCTTTTCTTGGACACTCATTCGTGGTGGGTTGCATGGTCCCAAACCCAACCTCTAGGGCTGGGACACACTTGACAAACACCTACATACCTTGAGTTTCTTGGTAAGACCTCCGGGATCTGCCGGGAAATGGCTCATTCCTGGTGTACAGACGCAGTACGTCCCCCATCAACTTCTAGTGATTGACTCTTAATTTGTGGCCAGTATGTCCGTTTTGGAGATGAGTGATGAGACAAACCTGGGAAGTCTTCTGTTTTTCTACCTTCTGAAAGTTTTCCTTTCGGTCTTTTGTATCTGTTTGTTATGCTCAATATTTGTATTTTGAAAAACTTTAAAATAAAGAATGCAAAAAAAAAAGTTTTGGCTGGACATACACTTTAATAAATGAAGCCACGATAAGAAAAGAAATGTTTATTTATTACATTTGCATTGAAGTCTACAAAGCACTGAAGTCACGATCAGCACGTAGCAAGTGCAATGCGCACAGGCTCCTGCTCCATCCCAGCCCTGGGTCTGGGGAAAGTAATCAATGGACTACAAGTGCTGTGATGTCACTACACTTGGACCGCATTGAGATCTGCGAGTTCCTCAGCCATGGTGGCACATGGGACTTTTCGATTTCCCATGACAGTTCCCCATGAATGGATGTTACACTAAATTTAATAAAACCAACCTGATGCTGCATATAGAAGCACCCTGTGACTCAGGTATATGGGGGGGGGGGTAAAAATGCTGCCATGTTTCATGTTACATCCTGAATATTGGTGTAATGTAATGCATGGTCCTAAAGCTGGACTGAGCTCAGCTGTCATTTTCCCCTTTGTAGTCTACTGCAAGCAGTTTATTCCAATAGCATCCAGTCATATAAGATGGCAGCTGGAAGCCCGAGTTGTCTGTAAAATACTTGCACATTCATCTGATAAGATTATACATGCTATAAGCTTGTCCTCTGCATACAACCAATGAGTGGTAAAGAGGATTTTAGCCAGAGAAGATGAAACGTTGCAGTTGTCCTGAGGTAAGTGAGGAGCTGGAAGCAGGAACTTGGGTAGCAAGTCTATGATTAGGCCCCATGGGTGTAACGTGTGAGAGACTGAGGGTCGGTGAAGGGAATTGTATCACTGTGTACTGTATTGATCAGCTATCAAAGATTTTATATCGTTGGAACCCCCATGGAGTGCAGTGCTTGGATCTATGCCTGGAGTTCTGCTTTAACCATCTATATGCCAGAGCCATGATTTCATTTTGCGCGCACATGCTAAAATTTACATATTGTACATGGACACTTAGAGTGCTTGGAACCCAAATTATATTCAGTACACTCAAATGTATGTTAGCGTACACAATAAACACCACATTTTCTGTAAATATAAGTCGATTAAATAAGTACCAAATATGTCAATGCTTAAAAATTGTGTGGCCACAAAACGTATACAAAGTATGATACCCAAACCTGTCCATAGGTGACGATTTAAAATCTTTTACAGTTCCTCAGTTTAGAATTCACCTTAAGTACTGGCCCTAGAATTATTCCCCTACTACCTAATGTGTTGTGGAGCTGCCATTTACATAAATGTGAGGGCCCTAGGGGAGTGTTTGCGTTTGTATGTGTGTGTAAAAGAGGCTGCTTTAAACACAAAAAATTGTTTGTTATTTTTTCGCTTTATCACTAACTGATCATCCCCCGTATGTGATAAATATTTGGTGACAGGTCCTCTTAAGGCAAGCAAAACAAATGGCAAACGCACTCATCAATTTGTAACCAGCTCTAAGCAGGGTGCACATGGAAGGGCTTTATACAGTACAACAGCAAAAGTTTCCCAGCACACTCACCAGCCAGCATGCAAAAAAACTTGTCTCACCGCTAAGGTTAAAAACAGGGGCGGACTGACCATTCGGTCCGTCGGGCACTGCCCGAGGGCCCGCGGCCTTCAGGATTTTGGGGGGGGGGGCCCTAATATAATCTTGCACCAGGGCCCTTTGTTCCCTAGGTGCGCTACTGACTGCAGACGACAGGCTTGGGGAAAGAGAATTCTCAGGGGGACTGTTTCAAAAAGAACCGGTAAGTTTGATAACCGATTTTAAAGGAGAACTATGAGGTTAAGGCTTTTCCCCATAGTTCTCCTTAGGGTAACGGGAGGACACAAACTAGCGTCCTCCCGTCACCCTAGGCTCAACCCCCTCATAGTTCTCCTTTAAAACATGACTAGAAAATCATGTAGATGGAAATTGATAGTTGTAATTATTCCTGCACTGCTCTGCATATGCCACTTCAGAGTCAGGACCCAGCTAACCATAAAGAGTGCGTTCCAGAACATTCGCCTCTGGAACGCAACCTGGCCAGCTCACTTTGCTTTGGGGCGGGAGGGGGCGTGGCAACAGAAACAGACAGCCGATCCGCTCACTTCTAGATCATTTCCCTGCAGAGGGTGGTGACTGTCAGTGCAATCGCCCACACCGGAACGCGTGGCACAACGGTGCGATTGCTTGCACTATTTTTTGCGATCACATTACTCCGTGGGCATCGGTGTGGCATGCGTTCCGGTGCAAGTGCAGGTCGGGAGGTGTGGCTGCGGTGCCATTCCTGGTTAAAAACAGGTATATCTTTTGCCATATGTGCTCCAGGATGGAGACTCTCATAGTTTAGAGTTAGGACCGCACTATATAGGAGGTGCCTTGACGTGGCTGTGCGGCTTTCACATTTTCTGCAGAAGACGTGCATCTAAACCTCTGTTTTTAACCTTAGCGGTAAGACCAGTTTTTTTTGCATGCTGGCTGGTGAGTGTGCTGGGAAACTTTTTGCTGAGGTCCTCTTTAGGGACACATTAACTATTACACCTCTATTGCTTCCGTTGTGCTTTGCCTAAACAGATGAAGTACAATTCTGAATCTGGAAGTGCTCTGTGCTGAGTGCTTCCAGGTTAGATCGAGAAACAGAGGTTTCTCATTTTTTCTGCTCTCCATCCTGAATGGTGCCATGGATGTCCTGAGCTGCCAGAGAACCGAGCTGAGCGGGCATGTTTGCCTACATCTGGAGGTGACTGGCAAAC